AAACTACATATATACACAAACTAAACAAGGATGCATCTTTATATGTATATGTACACGATTACACATTAGGACAGACAAGAAAAAGTTTCTTTAAGCCCCTCCCTCCCCCACTCAAAAAAAGCCAATTTTCGTGAGAACTGTCAAAATTGAGATAAATACATAGGAAAATAGTCCGTCGTCTGCTCTTTCAAAATCAATAAAAATTTTTCCTAAAACTTCCATTTTTTCTAGAAATATTTCAAAATTTCAGAGAACCAGTTTTTGGAAAACCAGCGGTTTTTTGAAATATCCAAAAATCTTTTTCGTGTTTTCTCATTTTTCGCTTTCTCGTACGCGCATCCCAAATTTCTCTTTCATAGTTCGTCCAATGTATTAATATTTTTTGTTTGTTTGAAAGAGCACGTCAAGATGTAGTGCAGTACAGAGTCCTTTTTTTAAATTAAGCTTGTTTTTTATTATATATACAAACACTTATATAAACAGACCATCATTTTTAGGGAGTTTTTTGAGTCATTAAACTTGTCAGCCCTTTTCTCCGCTTAAAAGGTAATAATTTTAAAAAAAGGACTCTGTACTGCACTGCATCTTGAGATGCTCTTTCAAACAAAAAAAATTTAAATATATTGAATGAGCTTTGACAGAGAAAAATGGATTGCCAGATGAGCTACTTTTGACTCTTGTTTGGTTCATATCTCTGTCAAACATCAGGGTATTGAGCTGAAAATTTTACCACAGCCTCCACACATCAGCCCCAACATATGCTCCAAGTTTCAGCCCATTTGAATGTGCCTGGAGCTGAGATCGTTTTTTGAGGGGAGGGGGCCTTAAGTTTTTTTTTATAAGGAATTGAAGTACATTCGCTAAAATTAATCTTAAACTTATATGTATACATATCAACAAATACAATATCATATTTCATTTTATGGCTTGCGTTCTCAAACATTAACTAATTGTGAACAACTTGTTTGCATTTAAACTTACTAATCATTAAAATATGTTCGTAATCATTCAACATATTGTTAAATGATTGATGATAAAAATATCATTTTGCGTACTTGATATCTTTGACTATTGTTAATTATGGTAGCCTGTCGTATCTTCTAAACGTTACTATTTTCATTCTGATAAAATCTATACAGTATCTCGTCAAAAATAAAATAAATTGACTTCATTATTTTAAGTATTTAATTGAAATCATATATATGCATCTATTTGAATCAATTTTTTTCACGCTTCATTATTTATTAATCAAAATAGTCAAATTATCGTGATTCTCTTTTCCCATATACTTTTATTTTACACGTTCTATTACCTGTTGTATTTTTATAAATGAGACTGTTATATAAATAATTATAAAGTTCAAGTTTGATATAAAGCTACGCAAAAAAATATAATATTTTAATAAATATTCAAATTCATGATTCGAATAAAAGATGCAAAGCTTCTTATGATATAACAAAAATATGTTGACTATAATTTGTACTTTCGAAAGTATGAAGAAATTTTCAGACGCAATATCCATAATATTAAAAAAAAAACTTCCATGATAATTAAAATAATATACGTATGTCAAAATAATGAATCATAAACAAGATATACTAAATCATTATTGTTTCATCTTAAAACATAATAATAAACATGTTCAAAAGTTATTGTTAATTGGATTTATTTGCAGTGACATCTTTATAAACTTGTACTCTACATAAATATTTTTGATTATAACATACTTAATGTACATACAATTAATAGTAAACACGATAGTTTATCGTTTTCTATTATCACCAATCAGATTAAGTTACGGCTGACTAGCTTGTGTGGTCTATTATGTTACCTTTCAAACAAACGCAAGTTATCTTCACATGCGTCGCTTCTGTAGATTCACTATTCTTATTACATGTCTAACATTATTTTTCATCATATTAATATATTATTGTTCACCCTCTTCTTCAACATATGAAGAAGTAATTATTACTCAATATATCATTCCAATAAAACCAACAAATGATAATCTAGTATCTATTGCGCGAAATATTATTCAAACAGGCATGGAAAATAGTAATTATTGGGTAAATACTCAATCATTTAGACGACTCAATCCAAAGCATACATATTTATTTTATAATAATGTAGAAGCAGAAAAGTTTGTTCGTCAACATATGTCACCAGCTGTTATTCATGCTTATGAAAGCATGCCTATGGTAGAATTAAAAGCAGGTTTTTTTCGATATATTGCTACCTATATACTCGGTGGTGTTTACTCGGATGTTGATACCGAATGTTTACGACCTATTGATACATGGACTGATAATCGTACGAATGTTGGTCTTATTGTTGGTGTTGAAGCAGAAGGTCCAACATGGAAAAAAGATTTCGTTCGATCACTTCAATTATGTCAATGGACATTTGCTGCCGTACCACAGCATCCCATACTTAAACGAATGATACAAAATATCGTGAAACAAACAGAAAAGCTTTTAAACAAACCAACAAATCTAAAGACTGTTATGAATTGGACAGGTGCAGGCCTTTGGACAGATACTGTTTTTGATTATCTTTATGAAACATATCATGTTGAATGGCCTACATTGACAAATTTGAAGCGTAGTCGACTTATTGGTGATGTTTATATTTTACCGATAACAGCATTTCAACCGTCTGCTTATGCAATGGGTGCAAAAGGAAGAAATAATTCAGAAGCACGTATTTGGCACTATTCTTTTGGAAGTTGGACACATCAATTTCGACAGAAAACAAAGGCATAGTCTTCATGTTAGCAAACATGATAAACTAAGAAAAAATTCATCAAAATTATAATGTATTGTAGTTTTTAAGAGGATTAATCTAGTTTTTGACCATTAGGATAAATTAGTATTAGTTTTTGTTGCTATCTACCAATGATTTGTTCTATTATCATATAATGGATATGATAATTGTATGATTTCGAGTAAAATGTAAAATTATACAAAAACTTATTTTTGCAAAAAAAACCTCAAAGCTAACGAATTTTTGCGATGAGAAAAATTTCTCGTAAGTTTATTCTATTTTCTTACCAGCTAAACTAATTGCAATAAACATAATTAATTATCGTTTTGAATCATCCGATAATTAAGAATTATATTCATTATATTTTTCAAGCAAAAAAGAAAATCGATTAAATATAATATCTTGAATGACAAATTTAGTTGTATGATGTTCTATTTGAAAACTAGTCATGAAAACTATTGTTCTGCAACCGAGCTGGGTGGTCGGATCTGGCTTGAAATATGGATTCTGATGAAAACTCGCCGCGTCGATTTGAGTTCTGAGTATGATCTCATTTTCAAAGCCTATCCAACAAATAATAAGATCTCGAAGTTTCCAACTATTTTTATCTTTTCATTGAATAATTTAGTGTAGTTGAGAACCAATCACAGATTAATAACAAGCAAACGTATACTTTATGAAATTAATAAAATTTTAAAAATTGAAAGACACTAAGTCAACTCTGAATCATTTGCTTTTTTTTTTATACAATTTGAAATGATCTCGTTTTATTTTCATTGCTATTTATGAAAGAAACTAAATAGAATACTTTTTCATATGAGATAAAAGTTTGAAAACTATACTATGGCTATGAAAGTATGTGCAGGATAATAATGAGTTTGAACATGTGTTCGAGTTTTTCTGCTTGCACTATAGTATTATTCCAAACTCAACAAGTCACGTACAGACTTGTTGCTAACCAAGAATCAGTATCGAACAGAGATGGGTAAGTCAAGTCATTTTTTGACTTGCGAAATTTTTCTTAAGCTCTTGATTTGAATTGACTTGGCCTGGAAAGCGTTGTGACTAGACTGGACTTGATTGAATAATTTTTTTGGCGATTAATGACTTGACTTGACTTGAGCCTTAAAAATCTCTGACTTGCCCATCTCTGGTATCGAATATGATGATTACAGTTTCTCGAGAGTTGTTATCGAACGATCGATATGTTTACAATGAAAGAGAAAAGTTGGACATAAACAAATTAATTATTTAAAAATATCTAGCTGTTAGGAATAATAATTTATAATTGAATCTTAATTTTGTCAATGGAATTATGTATATTATTGATGATACGGACAAATAAAAGTACATTATGATTATATCAATATCTACGAATATAGCTACATCGATATCTTCTTACAATTGAGTGAAATCGATTCTATTTACATTTACTGTGTTTATATCAGTTAGTAAACATGAAAATCTGTTAGGCTTAGACCATGCACAACTAGATTTGTCCATGAAGTAGTCTATTTTTTTTGTATGCAGCACATTCTTATCTGTGTAATGACATTTATGTATTCTTAAACATAATTCTTTTTAGCATTTCTATCTCTTATCTATTAGAAGTACCTGATGATGAAAGGTCGTCATTCATAATTTGATGCTTTACTACTGTGATCATATTGTCCATTTGATTAGTTGGTGCTAAAAAAACTATGTATGACTTATGACATATGAAGATATATGTTAATAAATGATGTACATTGATAATAGTATATTAACACAGTCTACTCAAGTAAAGAAGACATTTATGTAAATTTTAATGATTTCTAAATTTTTTCACGTTAAATACGCCGATTTTGACTTAATATTTTATTCTATTACTTATTAAAAGTGATATTTTTTATTGCTCAATGCAAAAAAGGAAGGTCATAAAAATACAAAATAAAATGATTGTATATCATCAAACAAATTTTATGCTTTTATTTTTTGATCATAATCTATTAAACATTAGGCCAATCGTTTATAAATAAATCGAAAATAATCTATCAATTAAAAGATTGTTTTTCCCATTAATGTCAAGTTTAAAACCTTTGACCATCAAAATACTAATAAAAAAAAAGTGTACAAAGAAACAAATAACTATATGTTTGTTTCAAGGTCTTTTATGATAAGAATAGTCAAAAACGTTAGACAGTGAGCCAATAATCAATGTTCTCGTGCAATGTCTGTTGTTCTGAAGCATATCGACAATATATTTTGTTATCGTTTTCCAATGATCAGATAAAATGAATACATATCTATTGACAATGAGACGAATGTCGAAGAGAATGGTCTATATGAAATGATCCATAGCTTAATTGAATTAGCATGCGGTATAGGTTGTTTGTTGTGTTTCTCAATATATTCTGTATGTATATGTGTGTTGCTTTCTTTGTATATATTCTTTCTTTTTTTCTATCTATTCCGAAGTATTTGCCAGAGCTGGAACTTAGCATCCATGCGCGAATTTGTCTAGTTCTTTGTCTCTTCTTCTTCCCTATCGTCTTGAATTACATCACTGGGCGTCGGATACATACTATGATAAATAGAAGAGTGTACGACTAACTAACAACATACAAAGAAAAGAAGAAGAAGAGGAAGAAGGCTGACGGAGACTAGAAAACGTTTCGGCTGACGGGCAACTGGCTATCCTCAATCTTTTTATTGTTAATTGATTTATCATTCTATCACTATCTTCGACAAATAAGAACCATTAGAAGGAAGCGAGAGACCGAGAAAAAACAAGGTAAAGATTGAAGAGAAGTGACACCAGATGATGTGAAATAGGCGACGTAGAGATAAACAATCAACACATACTCGTTGATATATTTTGTATACTGTCGGTTTCAAATCAATCAATGAAGACATATTTTAAACATCCATACGAAAAATCCTTGACGAGAATATTTTATTCATCGTTGGATACAGTTAATCACATTACATCGCGTGTCGATTTTCGTCAACGTGTTGTCCAACCGTCAACCAAAGAACAACAACGTTTGTTATCATCTTCTAGTTCATCAAGATTGCAGCATGTGCATTCTGGCAAATATGGTATAAAGCCAATATGGCCTTCTGATAAATCAGTGTGTGAACTATTGCAATCAGGCAGAAAGTCCAGTAAGGTAATAACACTAGTTGAACTTATAATGGCATTTATAAATTACATCATATACATATTGTTTATATAGAATCTTACAAATGATTACATCGAAATGAATGAGATTTCTCAGCATCTATTTCTTTTATTCATCTCTTGAGATATTGAAGATTAATATATTAAAAGTTTTCAAAGTATTTCAAAATAGAAATTCGTTAGTAGATATGAAAAAAAGTCTCCAGGCCATAACACATCAGATTTGATTAATAAATAAATACTTGTTGAAAAGAGAGCAATAATCAATTTGTTTGCTTGTACAGTTCTCACCAGAATGTGCATCAATTGATTTATAATTTGTCATCATCATAATTATTTTTCAAGGATTTCCTATTATTTCTCTATTGTTATAGACGCTGCAAACTATTAACGTATGTGTGATTTCATCATTGGTAAATTCCAAAGATGCAATCCGTCCTATAAGCAATATGTGTTCTAAGATTGATTTGATGATTGATCGGCCGACCAGTGGACAAACCAGATATTCTGATGTTAGCATAGATAAAGATACGAAAAAAGCAAAAAAGAAATCTACATTGACACATTTATCTGTTTTCATTGATGGATAACAAGATGATATGAACTTCTCATCTGTCGTCTTTTGCATTATTTTTTCCACTTCAATCGCAAGTAATAGCAACAAAACAACCACAGTTATGTGTATGTGTGTTAATGGAAAAAAAAGGCCAAATTGTATCCATCATTGTAGTATCTCGAACATACTGTAATATATTAGAGAAAAAAAAAGAGTAGGATCTAGTGGGATATTGGAGAAGAAAACAAAAAAACAGAAAACATGATGCCTGACCGAACAACTACAGGAGGGGGTGGTACGCCCACTAGAAAGACCATTAACACATCATCATAGAGTGCTATGTATAGATAAAAGAAATGTTATCTTAGCACATAAGGAAAAAAACCAAAATGCACATTATCATTTGCACTACGAATTAAATGATATAAAACCCATTAGTAGTTTTCTGTCTTGTTGTAGACAATAAAAATTTGGCTAATGTCTTTTTAATTAAAAATAAATTAACAAGAAGATTCGAGGCCAATGTTACAGATAACAGAAAAATCTTTGATATCTACAAAATATTTATTGATAATAAATGAACCTAATGTGGAAAACGATTGGGAATGCATAACTGAAGAGAATATGTCTCAAATAACATTATTTATCTAAACATAAAAATATACTTGATCTATGTAAACTACTTTTTGTAGAACCGTTGGTCTTCAATCGCATCAATATCATCAAAAAGTGATCGAGATCAATGCTTACACTTCAAGTCAGATTTACAGGTTTGTTTATTCTTTTCAAATTAATTAGATAATCAATCAATTATAACTACACACTTGTATAATAGAAGAAAATGATGCTTCCATCAACATCGACTGTGTCATATGTCGATCAAATAGATGGATCAATGTTAATGTTAGCTTCTATCTTTTTGTTCCTTCTTCTTCTCATCTATATTGTCTATCGATACCGATCTACTAAACTCAATGAAATTAAACTCAATGCAAAACGACGTCAACAAATTCTTGAAGATAATCTTCGTATTCATGAACCATTTGATTATCATATACCAACTGTTATACCATTACCAACTATTATTGAAGAAACTTCCGCAACATTATCTCCATCGAATTCAACGAATAAATTGAATCCATTTGCAAACACAACGGATATTCCATCAACACCGGTTGTCACAGGTTGAAGGAAAAAAAATGTTTTCTTGTTTGTTTTATAATTTGCCTTAGATATGTCAAAACTTAACATATTGATTATGTTCTATTCTATTCTATTCT